AAATCTCAAAGAATTCCTGAAACGTGCTTAATGACAGAGACTACTGAGGCATCAATGTGGGAAGGGATTACATCTAGAAATAGATGGTTTTTCATTTTTTTTAACATTTTTTGGTACTTATGGTAGAGACAAGAAAATAACTGCTTTTCTGTTGCTGCGTTCCAAACCTGCAGACGAAGTACTGGAACAATTTAACGACTTCACAGAAAATTAGTATCATGGACATTTTGTTCTCTCTGTTAGAGTTTGCTGCATCGTATAATTCATACACAAACCTCAGATTGCGGATGCAGCAGATTCCTGCTGAAAGGTTGGCTGGAGGTCTAGCTATACATTTTTTTGTCTTCAACTTGGAGCTTGTAGATATGATTTCTGGTTTATTTTGTACAGGCCACCTATGAATCTTCTTCGACAGGAGTTAGCTGGAACTTGTGTATACTTGGATATTTTACAAAAGACAACTGCAGAAGTTAATGGCAATATAGAGGAAGCACACAAAAAAAGTATTAATGAGAATGGTGATAATCATTTAGTGACAACTGGTGCCACTACAACAGAACAAATTAAAGATGAAAAACTTCAAGGAATAGCGGAAGAAAAGCTAGTCTCTTTTTGTCGACAGGTGCTTATGGAGGCATCTGATTTCCAGTCCACCATGGGGGAGACTGCTAACATGGATATTCACCGAGTTCTAGAACTACGTTCTCCCATTGTTGTTAAGGTTTGGAATATTCTTCTTTAACTTAGTTTTTCTTGGATCCTATCTCAGCGGTTAAGCTGGTATATAATGTCCTTTTCTTCTCTTTAAAGTCGCTTGGACTTGGTGAGAATAGTTGTGTGTGATATAGTTTGTGAAGAAACAAGAGTGTCGTATGCACAAGTGATTGCAGGTGCACAATGTCGAAGCTGACTTCTTAAAATTCTCAAAGCACATTATTTGGCCCCTGAAAATACATAGTAGTTCATGAGGTATTGTGCCCCGGGCATTTTTGCATCTGTTTTGCTGCCTGTGCATCTCAAATAGCAAAATAAACTCAAAACCTTCCTTGGCCTATTAGATGGTATATTTTGAAATCTACACCGCTACCCTGAAATGCTATATGATAACAGAGAGATGGATGGCATGTGTTTTCCATAACTTTTTTCTACTTGACCAAACAGGTTTTTCTTGTCTTTACCTCCTCTTGTTTTTTTCTTAGATTTTTTGGATTTTCACATTGTTGTTTCTTTCTTTGCGATGGTGACTAGGAAATCCCTTTAGCTATATAAAGAGGATAAGAAAAGAAAGGAAGCAGAAAAGATAGCATGTAAGGGAGATCTAAGCAGCTAGGGTCAAAGAAAGATTGAGCTATGGTAACTGGACTTTGACAACTTTCCTAACGGACGACCATGTTTGAATTAATTGCATTCAGTAACTTGAGTTGGTCCCTGCCCATAAACTGACAATTGAGGACCTAAGAAAAGATTTTTTCACTTCCAGTATCACTGGGGACTTTTTAAGTGTTCCCAGAAAAATGCATAGAGGGCTTATGGATCGCAATTACCTCTATTAGTTTGTAATTTTTTTCCTTCACAATAGAAGGTTCTTGTAATATAACCCTTGATTGACTGAAGATTGCTGGGCATGGTGCTTGATAAGTTTTAGAAAATTGCATGTTACTTAAGATGTGGACTTGATATAATTTAAAGTATCTGGTACCATGTATATTTGAATTGCTCTTAGTTGTCTAGGCATCATGTGAGATTCTGATGGTGTTGGCACTGCTGATTTCCCTCGTTCTTGTCTTTTAAATACTTTTTATTCCTTGATTGGAAGGAAAATATTGCGAAGTTTATTTATCTTCTAATGGCTCAAGTGATGCCTCCAAAAGAGACGAAAGACAGGAATACTGACGTAGCTTGAAGAAAACTTCTATATTTCTGCATCTGTTGGCGGCAAGTAGACAGTGAATTTTGGCTTTTCTTTTCCCTTTTTTTCTTTTTTCCTTTTTTTTCCCTTTTTTGGCTTTCTTGTATATATCAGCATAATTTTGTGCCTGATATATGTAGTTTACATTCTTTTCTGCTGTTGTTGTTGTTGTACTTCAGTGTATTTAAATGCGATATAATTGGTTCAAAGGTGAGGAAAGCTGTATGTTACTCTTTCAGTAAACAAGTGGTTCTTTGTCTTCCAGGTGCTTAATGGTATGTGCTCTATGAACAGCAAGATATTCAGAAATAATCTTAGAGAGTTCTATCCTCTGATAACGAAACTCGTATGCTGCGACCAGGTATCTCTGCTTCTGTAAATGAACGTTTTCAGTTGTTTGCTAGTCTGGTTGTCCACGAAAAGACATTATTCTTTTCCTGCTTTTTATGTCATATACCTTGATAAGCATAGTTTTACCACCTCCAAAAATTGTTGAAATTTTCTGTTTCTTAATTTCAGTGGGTAGTTACAATAAAGTTGCCTTCATGGTTAAACTGTTTCTTCTACCATATAGGCGATAGAGTACCTTATATGTTGCTTTGTTCTAGATAGTTTAATTATTAGTTCTAAAGTCCATCAGTGAATGATCAGCATGGATTGTTATGTGCCTGCCCCGCTGGGGGTGCTTCCTTGAGGGAATGCGATTTGTATTCAATGACTGTATTTGTCTGTCTGAGTGAGCACATGAGAAAACATCGTCATTTCTATCTTTTGAAACTTTTATTTCTACTTGTGAATCCTGTCCTACCAAGTCCCTGATTCTATCCTTGACCTGTCTACATCATGGTCCTGTGTACTAATTGTCTGGCAAAAGATGAGTGCTTGCTGTTTGCTTAAAGAATGTAAAATCTTTTATTGACAAACAAATTAGAACAAAAGTTGTCTGTGCAGTCACAGAAGTAATAGGTGTCTATTAGGTGGGTCAGAAGATCAACCTTTCAGATGACTTCTGATTAGAAATATGACTTCTGATTTTTCCAACAGATGGATGTACGCGGAGCTCTGGCAGATCTTTGCAGCAAGCAGTTAACAGAGTTGTTGCCGAAAGCACAACAGCCTGTTCATTGAGTTTCTCCAGCGGGAGTTCCCTTAGCTTTCAAATTGAGTTTAGAATATGGTATCTGATTTTGCTAACGCAGTTTTTGTTACCTTGATGTAATTAGAAGACTTGCGCAGTGTATAAACACTACACTACGGCCTCATATAGCTTATACCCTTGTCAACATTTCCTTTTTTTTTTTTTTTTGAGAGTTTTACCGGATGTAATATTGGAAGAGCACAAGAGAACATCCACTTCCCTTTAGGTTATACCATAGTGCTAGTATGCATTTGGCTATTCAGGTCTGAGAAACTCTGGTGTTTTAATATAGAATATGCAACATTTGTTGGTTACTCTTCTGTTGAAATGCATCAAGCCTTCTAGCAGCTTATTTGCTGTCAATAAACACTCTGGTAGTTTCGTTATTGCTGTTACTAGTTGCTGAAGGATGAGCAGATGCATCTCTCTTATTGAAAAATGTTGCACTTTTTGTTGTAGTATTAGCACTTTCTTCATCCATTCATTCAGCAGCTCAGTCTTATCAACTATTCTTCTGCTAGTGGTGTCTCATCTCAAAAGGATGATCGTCCAGTGAAGCAGAAGTAAAGTGTTTTTGCAACTTGGTCTTGTCAAATCAAAGTTTTGTCCTTAGGCATAATAATAAGTTCCACGAAATTGTAAACGAGATGGAATCAAATGCTACCAAAATGCTCAAAAAGGAAAAGAGAGTGCCAGCCACGGTTTGTGCTTAAAGGTACGATCTAAATTGTGAAAAATTTTATGTCAGTTTGGAGTAATTACATAACATGCCTAATAGTCGTTCTCGAATTAATGAAAGAATTCTACGTAAACATACGAGGGCTCACCTGATCTCATTTAGCATGCGGAGTCTTTATATGTTCATGTGAAGGTTTCCTATTGGTTCAAGAACAACCGTTAAACATGACAAATAGTTGTTCCAGGCCGGTATAAAATTTTTTGGAATTGCGATTTCAATCTCAACTATTCCGAAACCATTTGTCCACTTCAATTTAAAACACGCCCGCTTAAACATCCTCATTTAATCAATTCAACAAGACTGCTTGATTTTAGTCGTATAAATACAAAAAAAAAAAGACATAATTTTTAAAATTTTCAATTATTCTTTTATAAATATGTCATGCATCCAATCATGCTTATATAAAAAAGTTTGTTAATCTTAATATTAGTACGAGTAAATGGAGGAAATAATCATGAAACTTTTTAGGATCATTCACCCAAAAAAAAAAAAAGTGCATCTTAGGTTTCAATTAATTGAATGACTATTTTGTTTAAATAAAAGTTTCCTGATCAAAATAGGGAATTTCAAATTGTTTAGTGATAATTTATGTCATTATAATAATAATAATAATAATAGTAATTTCCTTTAATTACTGTCGGCGAATCATGTTCTCATCGCGTGCAGATTCCGGTATAGAGAGAGAAAGGGAGAAACAGTAGACAGACGACGACATTTGAAAGATGGAGCCACCGCCGTTTCAAGAATCCTCCCGCTGTGACGTCTGCTACTGTAGCTTCACCACCTTCCGCCGTCGGGTACTTCCTCTTCATCTTTCTAAATTCTTGACACTGCACAAACTTCGCCATCATATTTGATCGGATCATTTCATTGCAATTGTTATTATATATTCCTGTCGTGATTAATTCATTTCCAAGTTTTAACTTGAGAAGCATTTTTTTTTTAATTTAATTGACTAGATCAAGCATGACTTTCAGAATTTTAGCAATTGATTTTTTTTCAACAGGATTATTGGGAAATCGATTTGAATTAAGTGCAATGAGCATCGTGTTTCGTATTTTTGGTATGTGTACTAGTAAATATTGAAACTTCATACAATTTGATTAGGATCTTTTCAACTGATTTAGCTGTAAAAATTGAGTGTATTATCTTTTGAAAGTGATTTTGGTAAATATGTTTGATGTCCAGAATTCTTAATTGTATTGATAAGAGAAGGAGTTTAGTTTGAAGTAAGATAACTTGAAGTTGAAGAAGAATGAAAGAACGAAGAAAGGGATTTGAGAGTGGACGGATAACTGCTACTTCTCGAACTGAAGAACTTCCCTTATTGCAATTAGAATGATGTGAAGTCCAGATAAATCAAAAGGAGTCACCACAGATGGGCCAGCTTGTTGTTTTTTATTGTATTATATGCATAAAGTAAATAACTTGAGTGAGAGATAATGCAATACATGGCAGCTGCTTTCTTTCTTTTGGTCTCTTGCACTCCAATTAATGCAATCAGATCCTTCAGTGGCTAATGATTGACCTTCAAACTGGTAATGGGAGCACATTATAAAGAAGGTGGTTTAGACTTTCAGTTTACTTTCCTCCCTGAGAGAGAAACTTGGGAAGTGGGGTGAGACTTGAATGAGGTGCAGCATGTTAGTCCACTTCGGCGTCTAAATTTTATATGCCTGCTCACTGCAAATGACGATGTAGCTGCTTATAACTGCAAATCTTCAAATAGGCACATATGAACTGCATGTGGGTGTGGTCTTATATGGACTGCCATTTGGCCAATTCTAACCAGTGGTTTGCCATGTGAAGCCCTAGACTGGTGGGACTACAAGATGATATCTCTTGTCAGTGGCCTCTATTCTTGTGTGACCATGACTTTCAGCATCATATAAGACATTTTATGTTTAGAGTCTTTACAAATTCCATTTTTCTTGTGCATGTTGGTTGAAATCTTGATCATACTTGATGCTTTAATATTTTGTGTAATGTCCAATAACCCCAGAATGCCCCTCGCCTATCTTCTTGATCTAATTTTCTTCCAAGTAACTCTTTTATTTGACTATTGGGGTATAATACACCATCAGCACTGATACTGTCAACCTGGTACTCTACCTTAGACTATGGAAATAAAACCTTACTCCGCTGAGCAGCGAGTTGCTTCTGTTTCGAAAAGCTTAAAGCAATTCCTTGCATACAAGTTATTTTTGAGTATGCACCAACTTTCAGTAGAAAAATACTACAAGAAATCTCTTAGCTGTGCAATATAGCAATTTCCATGAAAGCTTGGAAAGTGTTCTGGGTGACCTGACTTTAAATGTGAAATGTGGCATCTTAAAGCGGTCTTTGGTATTCTTCTTTAACCCTGAATTGAAATTTGACAATGCATTCGGATCTCAGATTTGTTTTTCTTGTAAAAGTTGAGGTTAGAAGAGTACTACTGGGTCTTCTGGGTGAAAGATTGACAGGAAGTATAAAATGAGTTTTCCCTTTCTGGATAGACTCTAGGCTTGTGGTAGGCTGACATCAAGATATTGTGGATTTGACTAACAGGTGATTGAGAGATGTGTAAATTTGTCTGTGATTGCTTGTATGGTTGAGTCTTAAGCATGAACTCCTATCTGTTCTGGTAAGCAAGGGAGTTGAACTAAGTTGCACCTATCTGCTATGCTGCTTTTTTTTGCATCCCTCTTTCAAATACTTGTCTGAACTGTTCTCTTTGTTATATTTCTTTCTTTGCTTTTCTTGTCTGAGCCATTCTTTCCCTGTGATTACAGCATCATTGCAGATGTTGTGGTCGAACTTTATGTGCTGAACATTCATCACATCAAATGGTATGATAAACATAAGGCTTTTTGTATTCTAGGACTTGTATACCCAGAGTCGTATCAGTATGACATACTATTTTTAGTTTTTTTATCTTTTGCCTGATTGCTTGTTTTCAGGCATTACCTCAATTTGGTCTTCATTCACCTGTCAGAGTTTGTGCTGACTGCTTTAATAATTCCTCCCGGTAAATTCTGTCATCTCACTCTAAACAATTTAAGGGATTTGTTGTACTTTTTACGTAATATACTCCTCAATCATGGTTGAGCTTGTTGTTTATCTAGCTCTTTTTTGGGTAATTGAAGGCTCTTTCATTCATTCCAATCTATGGAGGGTCAGATGGTAGTTGCTTCAAGAGACTTGAGTGTGGCATATTAAACTGAAAACCTACCTAAATTTAGCATTTTGCTCCCTGAAGGGGCAGGCTTGAAATGAGTGGTTTGTAAACCTGCATCTCTTTCACCCCTCAGATTACCAAATTCTGGTTTTAGTTTTCCAAACCAGACACATTGATTTATAGAGGGGCTCTACTTGTTGATCTAAAGGCATTATCTAGAGTTAAATCATTTTGTTTTAATTCACTCATCCTTGCTCTTATTGCATGTTAACAATTTTTGGGCACATGATTAGAAATCTTCGTGTACATGTTGGCCCTTCTTATTCTATTTGACCAACGTATCAAACGAATTGTTCTGCTTGCTTACTATGCATTTTGTTGTGAGAAGTTTGAATAGAGATGCTGCACCAGCTATTTCAAACGGGACAACTGTTGTAACAGATGCAATTTCAAGATTAGATATCAACCCAGTTACTGAGATGGAAAAAGAACCACCTGTTGATAGAGCTTCTGTCCAAAGCACTCTAGAATGCAAGTGTGGGATGCCTTTATGTATTTGTGAAGCACCTGCTGCTCCAAAAGAAGATGTTACTTCACAGGCAAAATCCTCTTTTCCCCCTTGTTTTAGTTTGATCTGAAATGCAACTTTCAGGTAAAACTTATGGATATTAAAGTTTTCGTCTCTGCCCAGGAGGTCAAACGTGCTTCAACTAGTATGCTTCGTTCTAATCCAAAACCCAAAAAAGCAGAGACAGCATCAAGGGCTAGAGCCTCGACGTCAAATAGCAAGCATGGGTATGTTCCATTCATGTCTTGCATTCGCTATGTATGTCCTTGAGTTGCATGATCATATTGACTCTCTGCCAGTTTGTTAAACCGCATGTTTTGGTTGCAGAATGTGATGACATATCTTTCTTCAGTGTTATGTCGTATCTGTCCACCTCTGACTTAGGATGTAAAGTTGATTTGAATAGACTAATTTGACCAAGCCCTAGTGTGACATTTAATAAGCTGGGCTAGAATTCGAGTTCTCTTAACTGAGAGGATGTGGAAAAGGAAACATGAAGATTAATTCTTTGATGTTCTCTCTCACACTGAATCTATTATTGTGAAGAAGTTTCAGTTACCATTGATCTGTTATGTTAGAGACTATACTTGAAAGTTAGAAGATTGAGAGTAAATAAATTCCATGTCGAAGACGTAATTCCTTAATTTTGATCGTCAGTTTTTCCTTCTTGTATTCTTAGAAAACCATATTTATTTGTTTTCTCAAAGGTTTGTTCTTTCCCTCGGTACTCTAACCAATGGAGGCCAAAGTTTAGCTGTCACCTTTTCTGTTTCAGAAGTAGCTATAGTGAATTAAATGCTAGATGCTAATATCTCCATCTTCAGAAAGTACATTGTCTCTTAAAGTCTCTTAACATTACTGTATGCATAAACTTGCCAAACTTATATATCTTCTCATGACAGTTCTTGAGCTACTCATGAAATTGATTGTGGTCTCAAAACTCTGAGTCTGAAATTGGCAGTTGCTACATATTTAATGCCTTTAAACAGTAGAAATATGGGAAATAATCTTGATTTTACATTTTTCTGTTTACTTGAGATGTTTAATATCTTTAAATGTGGTCGAGTTTATTAAGAAATTGGGTTGGTATGAGCATAACTTCTCTCATCAGGTTTGGGTACTACTATTGATTTAAATGGTTAATTTGTTTATGTGCTTAAGGGCATCTACTCTTTTGTTATTACAAATGTGTTCTCCCTATTTCTCTCTCTCCCTCTTTCTCTCTCACACACACAGAGGCACTAAACACACAGACATTTATACATTTTATTTTTGTTTCTCCATTTGTTTTAAAAGGTTTATTGTGTGAATATACTGCTGAAAACTAGATAGCTTACGTATATCTTGGAATGTTTTCAGAACCATTTTCAATCCTGGTCAAGCTAGTAATGATATATTGCAAGTGGATTATGAAGCTAGTGGAGAGGTTGGTGCTCTGCTTTTGCGATTTTATAGGTGATGTTAATGTTATCTACAGTCTTCTGCAGTAGTTTCATCTAGTCTTTAAATTGTTGTATCTTGCAGGGTTTAAGGGAAGCAATAAAAAATGGTGACAGTGCTGCTGCCATGAAACTTTTGAACCAGGTATCTTTGGCTTGCCTCTGAATTATTATTGATAACCTTTTTTTTTTTTTGGTCAACAATCTACACCAACACCTACTCTTCCTACACTATGTGGAAAGGGACAAATCCAACTAGGTCACTGGGAACTGGAGGGGACTAAACACCTCTATAGACCATAGGGCATCCACTGGATTTGGAGAAGCCTTATAGAGTGGCAATTGATGGGAGGCAAGGTTCAAAACCTTGACCTCCCACCCCACAAAGACCTTAAGTGCCTTTGTGGTAGCCAACAGCCCAAGGGGCCGTTGGTTGCCCAGTTGAAGTACATTGATTCATTGTTGAAATAAAACTAAGCTATAATCAATTCTTTAGGGTGTGGATGCTAATTACTGTGATCGGCAAGGCTCATCTCTGTTACATCTGGTACTCTCTCTCTCTCTCTCTCTCTCTCTCTCTCTCATGCACACACACACACACACACACACACACAAACAAAAGGAAAGAAAAGAAAAACAGATAGAAAACATAACTGAAACAGATAGAAATATACACCACTTGCTGGTGTCAGATTGCTTATAGAAGGTTATGTGCTTCATTAACTGGACTTATTTGGTGTAGGCTGCGGTTTTTAACCGAACTGAAATAACTTTTGCCCTCATGGACCATGGAGCGAATGTTTATTTCAAGAATTCACAAGGTAAGTTGATTTTCAAACCAAATAAATTTGTGGACTGGCATTGATTTGCATGACAAACTGGCTACTGGTGATTTTGCTTAGCGATAGGGGAACATGTTAATCTGGCAACCGTTGATTTAGTTGGTTTTTCATAGCTTTTACTTTACTGGAAAGAGATTTTATCCAGCCCTAGCTAGTGCAGTACTGTCGGCTAAAGTGAATGGCAAATATCTGTATGGTGACCTTCAATGATTTTCCGAATTGTTCAGGTGAAACACCATTGGATTGTGCACCTGCCACGTTGCAGTACAAGATGAAAATGAAGATAGAAGAGAGTCAGTGATTGGGCTCAAGACATGTCAACTAATAGTGACATTTTGATGCCTAATTATAAGCCATAAAATCTACTCTGTTTTCTTGAAGTATTGATGATTTGTTCTGTTTTTCAACATGGTTTTGGCATTTTGTAAGAGTACGCGTTTCGGTACTCAAATCTTTCTAATGCAGCACATAATCAATTTCTTCACCCCAAGTGAAGTTGTAAATTTTGAAATCCCATCCATGCAAATAACTTTTCAAGTGAAAGTTGTAAATTTTCAATGCCATCCAAAATCGTTCTCTTTGTTTGTTTCTTCTTTTTCCTCCTTTCATTTTTTTATTTGTGTTTTTTTTGAGGGCCTTTTAGGGCCCCTTTCCCGTTGAAAGACTCATGTTGGTGATGAAAATAAAGACCGTTGTTACCAATTTGTTGTTTCCCCCGAAAGTTTATGCTTAAACATGTTGTGGATACTTGGCTTCTAATCATCAGTGGGACTCGTGGAATGCTGTAGCTGTAAACATTTAAATCTGTCCTATGGTTTCTGCAGCACTATTTGTGGTCCTGCCTTCCCACCACTGTTATTCTCTGGAGGGAAGGGCGGGGTAAAAGGCAGTGCTTCAGGAAGCTCAAGGAAATTGGGTTCTTAACCTTTACCAATTATGAGGAGAACTTGCTGGCTTGGCTTGGATCAGTTGGATGTTAATTATCATCATACAGATTTGTTTGCGATGCATCCTATTGACACATATTTGATTTTAGACAATTTAGCCTCAACCTGTAGCCTCAACAGATTGGTTGATGAGGAAGTTGGGAATTGACAGTAGTCTTGGTGACCAGATTTCGTTTGTCATGAGAAAGATCTTATATATAAGCAAAAAAGGGTCCCTTACCTCTTGCCCTCGTAAGCCTTCCCTACCAACCTGAACACAAAGCTGGATGAGCAGAATATCAAATGGTGCTGCCGAAGCTAGTTAATGAGGCAGTAACCCAATCCAGAATAAAAGATGCAGATGGGAGGCAATAAACCATTAGCCTGACCTCAGTAAAGTCGATACTTTTTGGGTGTTGGAATTTCAGATAGGATAAGCACACCTATCCTTCTTTCTTTGCTGCCATCAGCAAAATTAGCTTTAGAAAAGTAAACTCTGCCGTCATCTCCGATGTGTAAAATTGATTCTCCAGCTGGATGTGGACTGTGGAGAAAGAAAAACACATAAAGATACCCCAAGATCAAACCACCTACCGTCCAGTCCACCATCCACCCTCCACTTTCCTTAACGTCATCCACCGGCCTACCCCCACAAATCCTTCTATAAATTCAGCCTCGAGCTTCTCTAAAGAGCCCCCCTTCCTCTCTCTCTCTCTCTCTTCAAATTCTCCTTTCTTAATCTCTTAGCAGTTGTCTTCTCACAAGATTTTGCCCTCTAGTTGCTAGAATTTGTCAATTTGTCACGTCTGGGAAAATGGGATTCTGCGATTGTGGGATGGTTGGTGATGATCACTTTGTGCTATGCAAAGCAGCTCTAATCTTTGGAGTGACGAGATGGATCTTCTTCTGTGCTCAGAAACTAGTGAAACAATATTACATGCACATGTTTTCTTGGTCCTTTGACCACCATGAGCCCACATCACAATCTTCATCAGCAGTTCATCATGATCACTCTTCTTCAGCTTTAGAAATGGTGAGAGATTATTTGAGCTTGACAACTTTTGAAAACATCAAGCAGAGGCTGCCAGAAGAAGAAAGCCATGACATGTCCTGTGCAGTTTGCTTGAAGCGTTTCAAGAAGAATGATCAGGTCTGGGAATTGAACAATTGCAGGCATGTCTTCCACAAGCAATGCCTGGATAGATGGCTCCTCTACGACGCCCGGTTAACCTGTCCTCTTTGCAGAACTTCATTGATCACCATGAGTAGTTCAGAGTCTTGTTCCATGCCGCAGCAGCAGCAGCAACCTAGTTGGGCTGTGGAAAGGATTCTTTATCTATTTGGGGATGATTTGCTCTCTCCATCTTCTTACTCATCTGGAATGGAGGATCTGAGCTATTAATTGATGTCTGCCCTCAGTATTGTTAATTGTTAGGATGCAGCATTCTTAGCAAAATTTGTTCCCACATTTCTAAAGTTTCAAAGCTAAGGGGCAAGGCTGTTAATTCTTGGCTTTTGCCCAATTTTTTTTGGTTGTTGTAAATACTATATCAGGACAGTTGAAGACATTTGAGTTCTAGCAGTTAACCAGAAAATTTCCCCTTTTTTCTTCTCGTGTTATTTTTGTTGTTTTGTAAACCTATTAGTAGGTCGTTGGAATATCAAACTAGGTATTGGACGAAACATTAATTTATTATGTGCACCACAAGCAACTGCAGAACTACCAATTAGGGTTGCATTTTTAATACAAAGAATCTAACAGCTGAATGCCTGTAATTCGCTGACTTCTTGTATGGCCCCTGGTTTCTCTGCAATTGTAGTATATGCATTAAAAGTTATGTGAAAAAAGAAAAAAGTTGATGCCCGATCCACCTAAGGCATTCTAAATTGGAATGGACAGCCTTGATGTCGCTGGATTCAGCAACAAAAAATGGTATTGTCTATATCTTCATGGCATCCAACTTATCTTTTGTTGAATTAATCTTACATATACTGACAATATACATACTATCATATTTGACTACACGACACATTTACAAAATTTGGATTTCAAATTCAAATTTATATTATATGTCATATATCTAACGGTGAAAGTGTATGCACTGTCAATATATATAGAACATTAATCCATCTTTGTAATTTTAGCTCAGCATGCATGAATACAAGTTTAACTGGGACAATGTGTGTACAAGATAACTAGTTGGAATGTATAAATACAATCTTATTATGTAGACTTAAATGCTCATTGTAATGCTTCAGTTTTTGTGTCTTGAGAATACAATCATAAAATGCCTTCTAAATCCAAAATCTTTCTTAGTCTTTCCTTCAACTCCCAAAACGAGAGAGAAAGTAATAGTCATTTTGCTTTTTCTTTCTCTTTCTCTTTCTTTTTTTAAATCCTCTTCTCTCATGATTTAGAGACTTCCCTTCTCTTCGTTTTTCCCCCAACTCCCAAGATAAGCCCTGAGGTCCTCAGCCAATACTGCTTGTATCTGATGGCTTCGATGTGTCATGACTGCAGATAATGTTGCATGAACACCTAGGAATCACTCCACTTGATAATTGAAGTAATTGGGACAATTTTGATGCCTCCCTCTTGCTCGTGTCACAGTGAAAAGCAAAAAAAGCATCTCAGTTTCCACCTGCACTCGTTAAGCCTTCAGCAGAAGGCACTTTGGAGTAGATAAGCCTGATACAAATTCTGCTCCTAATGGGCAGATGATATCATCCCAGTAAAGAAAATGCATGCATTAGTAAGCAAAATCCATCATCATCTTCTCTTCTTGGGACGGGTTAAATTCACATCCTTCTTCTGTACTAAATTCACACCCCATGCAAATTAGTCTTCAAGTTTATGTGACACGTCTTATTCTTTTAAGAAACATATATGTTAACGGAAAAAATAAATGTTTACGTTGTAAAAGAGATTATTTTCGAACATGTCGTTAAGAAAATTAAATTTTAAGTTCAAATTTAATTTAGCAATCCGAATTTTTCCATGACGGATATGCACGTAAAAGTATCTATATATTTCAATTCTATAAAATAAAAATTTAGGTCATTCTCAATGGGGAATATGCAATCATATTGATTTCTTCATACTAATATCTTTCATTTGACTAGCTGTATGTTAGTGTTAAAAAAAAGGTTTCACAAAATAAAGGCGTGCAGGTCATATAAGGAAAGAGAAAAAAAAAAAAGTAAAGCGACTTAGTGGAACACAAATTTTAGAACGAAATAAAGAATTAAAGGAATTTCTATACAGAACTAAACATAAAGATTAGGGTATGGATTTTTGTTCTTCAGAAAAGATATTGCTATGCCCTATTTTCATTATGTAAAAAAATAACTTAAATACTGTAAAAAGTTATGATTTACTAATAGTTAAGGGAATCGGTGCCTAACAAATGTACAGAATGTGAATTTAGCCCCTCCCTCTTTTTGTTTTGATATCATCATCTATACTCAAATCCTTCTTAAAGTTGCTTGTTGTTGGAGGTAGGAGTATCAAATAAGACAAGTACACCCATCTAATCTATCCTTGCTACCATCAGAAAAATTAGCTTTAGAAAAAGTTGTCTCTGCAGTCACTAATATCTGATGTGTAAAGACGATTATCCAACTGATAGTGAGACAGCAAAACAGAAAAAGACAACCTAATACCACCCACTTTCCACTCACATGTTTGCCAAACATCATCCAAATCTCCAGTCGTCCACCCCAAATCTTCAATAAGTACAGCCTCGAGGCCTCTGTAACCTTCCCCCCTCCTTCCTTCTCCACATTATCTCCTTCTTGACGAGATTTGGCCCTTTAATTAGTTGCCACAATCTTCAAATATATTAGGTTTGCTAATTAAAATATGGTTGCTTGTGATCATTTTGTACTATGCAAAGCAGCTCTAATATTTGGAGTGACAAGATGGATACTTTCTTGGGCACGAGAATTGGTCAGGAGCTACTTGTACATCTTCTCTTGGTCACTAGAATATGATGAGCCCACATTACAATCTTCATCACCAATTCATCCCTCTTCTTCAGGTTTGGAAATGGTGAGGAATTATCTCAGTTTGACCACATTTGAAACTGTTGCAGCCAGGCTGCCGCAAGAAGAAAGCCATAACATGTCATGTGCTGTTTGCTTAAAGCAATTAAGGAAGAAAAATCAGGTCTGGGAGCTTAGCAATTGCAGGCATATTTTCCACAAGGAATGCTTGGATAGATGGCTTGTTTATGATGCTCGTTTGACATGCCCTCTTTGTAGAACTTCTTTGATCTCCATTAGTACGTCAGAGTTGCATTCTTCCATGCAACAGCACCAGCAGCAGCCTAGTTGGGCTGTGGAGAGGATTCTTTATCTGTTCGGGGATGATATGCTGTGTTCATCTTCTTACTCCCCATGAATTGAGGATCACAGGCATTAATTCATGGCTGCCAATTTATTCTTAGTTGTTAGGTTGAGGAATTCTTGGAAATATGGAACCAAACTTAATTTCAAATTTCCAAGGCTAAAGCTATTAAGAATTTGCCTAGTGCCCAATTTTTTATCCATGGACTGTAACAACCCTAATCTATAATTAATTTTTTTTTTTTACGATCCTACTTCTCCCCGACACAACATCCTTTCCATCACACAATTATTTTCTAGTTTTTAGTCATTCCACCGCTCCTCACATCCTTATCACCCTCAACTGTCATGCCAACCAGACACACAGGATTCAGGATTCGAACCTTCCCACCCCTAATTTGCCCCAACCGTCAATAATAACTATACGAACTCTTCTTTGTTCTTTTTTATCTAAATCAGGGCACGTGATTTGTGTATACTTTTCTGATGATACACACATCAAATGCTACGTACTAGGCCAAATTGGTCTTGAATTTTATGACTCACAACTGACACTTTCCTTTAACACTTTTCCCTTTTTCTTTTGGTAGATCTTTTATTGGCATCGAATCTTCACTTTAGAATCCTAAGCCAGTGGAAGTCTTGAATCTCTTTGTATCGACGTTGCTTTCTGCCTACTTTTCTTCTATCATTCTTCAATTTGATAGGGGAATTGCAGCAATCTAAAACCTTATCTAAAAAGTGCTCGCAAGAGCATCCCTCTGCTTTTACGTGACACCACACCAGCCATTAGGGTGTCTAGTTGGATTGCGTCAAAATTGAGATTTTTCTGGTATAAAGCAACCATGGGCCAAAATTTTAAATAATTTTTTAGCATCCCTATTACTTTTTCCTTTTTCATTATTTAGCTCTATAAAAAACTCTTAAAGCCTATGGAATATAAAACAATTGGACTCGGCGTTGGTGGGGTGCGCCAGGCCCATGCAGCAGTGTAACGCATGGACGACGCTCGAAGGCCCCAATAGCAAGCTACCGTGGTGGGCCTTCCCCCTAAAAAAAATGAGTTAATATCGTGTGGGCCGATGGCCCACGTATCAGATATTAAACTGATAAGAACAGATACTACACTTGATCTTAGCCAAAAGGCCGAGAAAGGTATGCTTTAAAACAGCCCATCTACCTTGCTTTTATAGTCGCTGCAGTTTCCTGCCGTCTCCTGCTTAGTCGATGTGGGACTATTTCTTATAGTTTTGGCCAGTACAATCAAGTTCTAAACTTAAAAAAGATAGATTGCTGCGGGTCTGTTTGGCCAGCAGCCAATCTATTCCTACATGGCTCTAAATCTTTGACGAACAAATGGCACAAAAAGCTCATGTGATATAACCAATTCTTTGAATCCTTTTCGAGTTACATAACTGGATAAAAGTCAGTAAGTAATACTTCTATTGCACTCTCAATTCAATTGGAAGCTAGTTGAAATGTCATCAATTAAAATTTACAGAATAATAACATTGCATTAGAAATTAGAATAGAAAAGACGCTGCTAATTTTGGGTTTTGACTGATTTTTTGGTTTCTTCCACTTGTATGCAGCTTCAATAATTTTGAGATTCTTACACTGTGTTTCTTCAGGGAACAGATAGATGGTCAATGTATTCCTCATACATTGCTGGACCATCGGACCATCCTCGGTCTCGATGTGCCTCCTCTTCTTGAGTTTTTTTGGGGCTCTTGAACATAAACCAAATCAACATTGCCAAGCAAGCTCCCCGCAACTGCTCTCCAAATTTAACCACTCTTCAAGCAGCATTGCCCTTTCTTCTTTCAGCTCAGGTGCAAAAGTTTTGAAATAATGCAGATCTCTTTCCAGAAACCCTCTAGCTAGCTCAATGCATCTTTCCTTCTGTTGAAGATCGTCATCTTCAGATGCCTCGAGTCCATCACAGCTCAACCAGACCTTAGGATGTTTTGTACGATCTAGCAGCCTCTCCTAGAGGGCTCTAGCTCTTTCAATTTCACCCTCTCAGGTATCTCAAAGTCAATGTATTCCTTCCATAGTAACTCTGGAATGTCTAATGCAGGTCGCTGGATTGCAAGCTCAAAGATGGATCTTGCTCGCTCTGTTTCACCAAAAATCTTTCCAATTTGGCATAGCTGTTCTACGCATATCAATTCTCAGGTGACCACTCCAGACACTTATCATATATATAGCTTTCTACAACGGTCTGTGTTGCCGAGTTGCAGTTCTGTTTCAATTTACTTCGTAGAAAGCTTCTGCTTAAGAGACTTCCCAATTGCTGCTCCTAGGATTGATGCAGCCATTTGTAGATTTAACTGTCGAATTTCAAACTGTACAGCCATCAACCAAGTCTTTGCAAAAGAAAATTTCCCCCGAGGAGTTAACTTGAGGCAAGACTTTTCAACTT